AAAAAAAAAAAAAAAAAAAAAAAAAAAAAAAACACACACATCATAGTAAAATTAATACCTTCTCCGCTTCGCATCGAAGCTAATATCTACCACTTTCTTTAAAAAACAATATTTTTAAAATACTTAATTTCAAATTAATTAAAAATTAATAAATATTAAAAATTATTTGAATATAATTTAAAACAATTATTAAATTTAATATAGAATAATTTGATTGAAATTCTTTAGAAAAACTTTTTCGCACACTTAACACACACGCACTTGTCGAAAAGTCTTTTTGGTGAGAAACCTCACAATTTTATTTCCATATTTGATGAAATAAAAACAAAATATCCGATAGCAAACCTTGATTAATCGACCTTGACTAAGAGACAAAATAATACGGTCAACGGTTATTTCAAATTTAATATTAAAAAAAACTAAGAGAAATTTAGAAATCAAGCGGCCGAATCAACAATTTATTGTTTAGTGTAATATTCGGTTACCTCCATATTTTAAATTGTTCAGGAGACACAAAAAACTTAATAATTTTAGTACTAAACCATTAGTATATTCAGCATTTCTATTTTCCCAATTTTAGCTTTTCTAGTGACGGATTAGCTCAGTTATCAACTAAGTATAACACCAAACTGTTGAAAAAATAATTCTCTATCGAAAAATTTAATAAAGTGGACCGATTGTTGCCACTGAGCTCTTTAATTTTCTTATGATCTCAGAGCAACTTTATCCAAAAAACTGTCACCAGCTGATAAATTATAATACTTTTTCATTAAAATAGAAACACACCATTTTAACAACACCAAATTTGGTAGCAGTTTGATTAAAATTATTTAAACTAAACTCTGTTATAATACTCAATTCAACAGGTTTGAAACAACTGTTGAGAATAAGCAACTATTAAAAATTAACAAATTTTATGCCCAATACACTTTTTAAATGTAATGAATAATAATTGTTTTAAGGTTTAATGACGATCAGAAAATTTAAATATTTTACAAAACATGAATGAATCATGTTATAAGAATAATAACTATTATAAAAAAATTCGATATTTTTAAATTAGCATGAAATTATGTATTAAGTCATTAAGACAATCATTTATATTAACTTACAGTAGTGTAACAATCTTTAAAATCCGGCGCGTAAGTCCAGAGTTGGAAACGACGAATAAACTCATCGTTCATTTGTTTACTTAAGTATTTCCTCGGGGTCATATTGTGACTTTGCTTGTTCAAAGTAATTATAAAACTATTAAGTGTAATCCTTGATAATCACTCATAATATAACTGAACATGGTCGTGTTGTTATGTCAATTTATCAATAACATCGGCAGACATTTTCAGAGTTTAGCTCATATTTCAGTTTTTTATAAATATTCATTGTTTATTAAAAAGTGAAAATTAAAAAAATCTTCATAAACACAATTTTAATCTTTCAATAAATCAACATACTTTAAGTTACTATAGCGTAAGTAAAAAAACAATCAATATCGGTTGGAACACTAAATATATATATAAATTAAACTACATAACAATGAAATATTTTACACTAACACAATATTAACACTGTGAACTTATACTCGCGAGAACTCACTATACAATAGGTTAACTGTCCCTAATAGCCATGCAAAATAGACTAGCATTAGTACGGATTCTAAGTTTTATGTAATTTGTAACGTTTCTTTTTAAAATCTATGATCCTTTGAATCGATTAATAATGATAAAACATAATTCGAGTAAAAAATAATTAGAAACTCAATATCTTATAAGGATTTGTACAATCATCTGGGTATAAGTTTTATAGTAAACAATACAGATGAAGTTATGAATACTTAAAAAAAATTCAACTATTTTTAATGATATATAAAATAAATAAGAAAGTAAAGAATTTCTTGGAAGTATAAATCAATTAAGTCAAATAAAAATGAAAACTAAAAAACAATATTTTCAAAAAAAAAAAATATATATATATATTGTAAGTAGAATATGTCAGATTTCATAATATTGCGTAGAATAAGATAGAAAAGGTATAAGCATGAAGGCGGCACTTTATAAGTATGAATACACAGCACACTAAAACATAAATGAAACCTACTGTTTAATTCATTATAATACGAGATATTTACATATATACTAGTTATTATTGAAACAACTTAACAGACAACAGCGAGTACAGATGAAAACGCGATGACTGAGGTCAAATTATTTCATCATTATTGATGGTCATTTAGTATCAATATCCTTTATAATTATTTTATATTAGTATGTTATATAAGTATATATATCTCCTCTATAAGTATTTTATATTTTTAAGTTTTATAATAATTATTATTTAATTATTTGTGATGATCAGGTTCAAGAAAAATCATTGAGAAAAACCATAAAAATATTACAATAATTTTAAATGTGTTTTCTTAAAGTAGAAACAGACTGAAATTCTAAATTTTTAAGTTAGAAGATCATATTTTATAACTTTAAAAATATTAATTACTTTTTTAACTCGATTTATTTTAAATCCATATTTTATTTACTTGTTATTAAAAGTCCATAGGCGTAATAAGATATTTAAGGTATATTAAATCGCCTTTTTTTGTTAATTACTTATATTTTTAAGGATTCTTTAATGTTACACGAGATCCAAGTATAATATTTCTAAAAAGCCCGAGTACTGATCTTAACATGCTACCTATAAATCCGTCCACCACGATTCAAAGTATTGTCTTTTAAATTGTTTATGTTAAATCGATTACATACAATTTAATCCAAAACTGAATTAAAAGGAAACCCAATCCTAAATGAGCCTTAATTTAAGAAAACTAAAAGAAAAAATAGATATTATTTAATAATATTTTTAAAAAGACTTCAGTTTAATATAAAATTGTTTTACTTGACAAAAATATAAAAACTAAAAAACAAATTTTAATAATGCTAAAAATTTGTAAATGGATATATAATACCTTAGGATATAAATGTTATTACTCTTATTAAAGTCCAATAAAGAAATTTCTTATGAAAAATTCATATAGTCAAAAAAAAGTTACCCATGTTTAATATACAACTTTACAAAAACCATGGTAAACAGTTATGCATTTTGAAAAAATTAATTAATATTTTAAAATTTAAATTGTAAAATTGATAATCAATAAGTGGAAAAAGTAGATTTTGAACTATTCATAATAATGTGATACTAAAAATTGTTTGCAAATCTTGCTGATATGATTTTATTAGTATAACTTGCAACATATAGTACTACATTTTATGTAACAATTGGCTTTTCTCGCAGAATATTTCTCTGGAATTAAGTTTATTATTCAATTTTTAGTATATTACATATAATTGGTTCAAAATGTTAAATTTACTATTTCACAATATTTTTCTATTTTAATGAATTAAAATGTATAACATGTTATTAAACTAAAGACAAATTATAAATGTATAAAATACCACTTTGTAATTATTGTCAGAGGATATGTCAAAATTTTTGTTATTCTCTAAAAATTGAAAAAATTTATATATGTAATGTTATTAAGTAGGAATATAAAAAAACCCAGCACAGGGGGGTCGTGGCACAGTGGTGACGTGGCATAGTTGGATCAAGTATAATGATATCTGACAGTGATTAAAATCACTATCAAAAATAAACGCTTCGATGCAAATCTTTAGATAGTGTTTAATTTTAAAAATTGGAGGATTATTCCAAAAGCTTCATAAGCTACTAGTTCCTTATTAATATCCTCATTAAGATAAAGTATGTCGAATGAAAAAAGGAATATTGAAAAATAGTATTTCCCATAAAAAAATTATATTGATCAATACACTTTTCAATAAGTTATAGCATTATAAAGTTAAAAATGTAAAAAATAAAATTGAGAATTTTCACACAATAATAGCATTTGGTAGCCATTTTCACCGTGAAGACAAAATAAAGTCCGAAATTTTTTTTTCATAATAAAGTATATTACATTAGCTTTAATTTAAGATATATATAAAAGTGTCAGACCTTCCGGAACATTTTCAAAATTTAAGTTAAAAAAATTAATTTTTTGTGAAAAAGTTGTCATTTTGAATCCCCCCCTGTAGGCAGGTAAAAAGTCAGATTTATAAAAAAAATATACCAAATGATAGGTAAAGACATCATGCATCTATAAAAGAAAGAATTATATTGATATGTTCATTTTTAAAAAAGTTACGGCAGTTTTTAGTAAAAAAAGTTGAAAAAATTTCGAAAATTAGCCATTTTTAAATTTGTAATTTTTTCGGAGGTTTCCCCCATTTACGGTGAACAAGGGAAATTTTTTCAATTTTTAAGGGTAATGTCTTCGACTAGATACGATTTGTGATCTTATGACGTATCATTGAAAGAAATCGGTTCGGTGAGAACTGAGAAAAAGTGGTAACAGACACAAAAAAAAAAAAACACATCTTAGTAAAACCAATACCTTCTCAGCTTCGCATCGAAGCTAAAAAATATTTAAATTTTAAGTGAGTTCAAAAGACATACATATATCACATTACTGATATCACTATTTGTTGAAATTTATAAGTAAAAATAGCAAAACTTATTTAAAAAAATTTCAAGTATAATATAGCCTATTTATTAAATTTTTAAATAATAATAATATACCACCTTATAATCAACAAAACTTTAAAGTACAGTCTTATTGTATAAATTTTACAAAAATGTTACTATGATAATCACATTTAATGTTAGTTTAAGCTATTATTTGTGTTAAAGAGGTTGGTATCTATATGACAGAATCAAACTCTGTTACTGTTACAATGCGGCATTATGTATTCCAAACTGAGCCATATAGGTTGCTTAATAGCAAATTTTATATAATACTTATGTGATGAAATAACTTCTTAGATATATCATAAATAAATGTAAAATTATCAAAATGTTTTAAAGGAATTAATTAATAAATTAATAGAATGTTGTCAGTAAAAAAGTTCAATAAAAGAATTTAAAGCATTATAAATAAATTAATTAAAAATTATAATGATGTCTTTCCATAAAATTTGAATAAAAATTTTTTAATTTCAACTTTATAAATTACAATGAAACAATTTAAACAATATGCCTTTTCTATATATAAGTACTCATAATATGCTACCAGGAAAATTATATTCAACTAGTATCAATTTGAATAAAAAAAATTTCAGACATCATGTATATATATAAAGTAATAAACAAAACAATTGTATTCTCACCACAACATAAAGCTTTTTTATGTCTTCAGCCATTGTTTATTTCTGAAAAATAAAAAATATATTTATGTAATTTAAAGAAACTTATATTAATATAAATTTTAAAACTGTTATAAGCATTTATAATATTTTATATTTTATTTTTATTTTAATATTGGGATTTACTTTTATACATGGACATATTACAATATGAATACAATTACAAACGATTATAAAAATATATAGAATAGCTAAAATTTCAATAAAAATAGAAAAAAATTGTATAATATTTCTATGTTTTTATAAATTAAAATTAAAATTTCTATAAATCAAGCTTTTAAAATGAAATGGAAAAATAATTTTTTATGACAAATTCTTTTAAAGTAACTATCTTATTACACACACAATTAACACAACATTATGCACAATCCATTTACTTTTCATAACATATTATTAATTGGCAGCAAATAATTCATACCTTAGTTAAAATAAGTTGTTTTATTCAATTTTTCATTTGGATTAGCAATTTTTAACTAAGTGAAGTATAAAAATTAAATTTAAAAAACTGTCAAATAGTATCTAGTCACACAGTAATACTGATATATCATTAAAAAATGGTCTAACTGCTTTAAGTTGCACTTACTACGTCAACATTTTATTTTATAATTAAATTAATCTTTAATCACTTAGAAAACATAGTTGGAAAGCTTAATAAAATAAAAAATTACTTTTGATATTCAAAAAATATGTATTATGTAAATTTTAATTTTGTTATGAAATGAGGTGTCTTGAACACAATGGGCATAAGTGACATTTTCAAAAAAAAATGAGATGAACTATAAATTTTTCATTTTATTTAGTGGTAGAAATATTAGTGAATTATTGATTATTTTCTGCAATCTGGTAGCAAATCACTTATTTATTTCCTAAACATAAATGGGATCTGGATTAGAAGGAAATAGGTACAAACGCACTTACATCTTTCTGCCACTAAACCACATCAGCTATACCTTTTTATTGCTAAGTGTATTTATTCTTTTTATCAATAAAAAAAAAAAGAGTAGTAAAATGATAATATATTATTGTTTTTAAGTTTATATTAATTATATTGTGTTATTTAACCAAAATCAATTTAGAAAAAAAATTATTTAATAATAAGCAGTTGAGAAAAATAATTTTGTTTTTATTGACTAGGGAACATGAATGGAGAAAATAATATGAGTGATGGTAAGTTATTTTGAACTATTAACTTAGAAAAGCAATTTTAGTCTAGGCCTAAGTTAAGACCACAATATTCTGGAATCTAATAAATGTTTCATGATTTTAATTTTAGATTATGAATATTTGTTTAGTAGAGATGATAGCGATGCAGACAAGAAAAATATGCCAAATAATAATAATTTAAGTTTGGAAACTCAATCATAATAAGATATTATTAATGATTTACTAAGTAATTCCCTATTAAATGTGCCACAGACTTCTAGGAAAAGTCAGAAGAATTGATACATGGAAACATGTGACAACTATGATTTTAAGAAATAAAGGTATGACTTATGTAGATCTTAAAGGCAAAACACACAAGAGTAAAGAACTAATAGAGTTCAAATAAAGATGTAGGTATAAATGTAACACTAATTTACCTGAAGATGTCTGAAAGGAAATTTTTAAGAAATATTGGGAGTTACAAACAGCATATTTAAATGGGGCTATTACATTAAATACGGTTTGTAGAAAAAGTGATACAGCAACAAAGGCAGTATTATGTGTTTACACTCTTGGAGAGTTTAGAGTTTGCTAAGAGTTCTTAAGAAAACACTTTGCATATTAAGGTAGCACGGATACACTTTATTTCAAATATAGTGCTGCTGATGGTCAAGAGATATTTATGAGATGTCTATGAAATAAAAGTTTCGTTGTGGAAAGGTTATAACTAATTTCCCACAAAATTTACCTTTGGTATCAGTAAAATCTATTTTAAAACCTGCAAAGGTAAAGGACCTCATGAATCAAATTTAATAAAACCCCTAATTCATTATTTTTTCCAAAATTTGTCTAATAATCTTATAAATAATCAGTGTCAAGCTCAAGGTACCCCAGAAGAAGATATTATACAAAAAGAAGATGATGAAGCTTTTGAGATGGACAACTTTTATGATATGAATGAAGACTAAAACATTAATAAAGACATGTGACTAATATAAGTTGTTATTAGTTTTTTATTTTAAACATAGTATTATTATTAACAAGTTATATATTAATAATCTTATTTTATAATATAAAGTTTTTTCAATAATTCTTTGTCAAAGATTGATGGTATGTGATTTTTATAATTTTGTTTTCTTATAATAATAGGTTATTATTATTTATATATTTCAAAAAGTTTATTGATTTGTAGTCAATGATTACTTAATAACATTGAGATTAATTAATATTATTATATATTTTTTTTGTTTCATTAATATAATAAAAGTAAGACAAAAAAAAAGTAAACTTTGAACTTGATTATTATAAATAAAAAAAATGTCATTTATACCCCTTTTGTTCTAGGTGCCTCAAATAGTAAATAGAAATAGATAAATAAAATTTACTATAATTAATTTTAATTAGATAGATCAATATTTTTTTTATATTGTAATTCTAATTTAAAAAAAGTTCCAAATTTTTAATCACATTTTCACGAGACTAATAAATTTGGTTGCTAATATATCCTAAATTCTCATTAGTTTGCACTATTATCTAGCTATTTAAAATTGAAACTTAAGGAAGAATTTTAGAAACTATGATGATAAGTTAACAATTAAGTTTACTTTCCTATTAAAGTGAAACTTTTTGTAATGTAGTACTAATTTATTTAAAAAAATTTATTGAATTATCCATTGCTATTATTTCATACCTTATTACTAAGAGGAATAATTAAGTCGATTAACTTTTAAAGTACATGCAATTTTATATCATAGTTAAAATTTAGATAGTAAAAATAAAAAAATAGAACAATGATTCTTAATTGCAGATGATACAATTTTTTAACTGTCCAAAGTGCTTAACCATTGATAGAAGTCTATAAAAAAAGTTTTTATTTCATATTAATACTAAAATACTAGATTACACTCATTAACTCAATAATTTATTAAATAAATTTTTTAATTAAAAAAAAAATTTAATTAAATATAAATATTTAATTTTAATTAGCATATAAAAATACTAGCTCATTATTTAAAGAAAATTTTATATTGTTTAAGGAATATTATTTGTTTTACATATAAAATAAACAACAAAAAACCCGAATTGTTTAAAAATACAAATAATCATATAATTATAACACTTTATCACAAAATAAGATATTATAATGCATAGATAACTATTTTTTTTTATTTTTAACTATTAGAAATTTTAACATCTTTGACCGTAAATCAAACATTTAGTAGTTCCACGTTGGTAGTAACTAATAGATAAGTATTATAAAAAAAGTAAGTAGGCGGAAAATATAGATTTGGCATCTCGAAATAATAATAATAATCACGTACCTTATGTGGATTTCAACTGAAAATTTTAACGTTTTTTAAAATGAAAGATGCCATTGAATATCTATTCAAAACGTATTTAAAATTATTCAAAAAATTTTAACGAACTTAATAATAGTATAGTTTAACAAATGAATAGTTTTGATATCTTGCCAACAAATGAATAGACAATCACAGATGACTATTAGTGTAGGTAAACAGGCGCGCGGTAAATTGTTATCAATATATTCGAGTAAAATGATGTTAGTAGTCAAGATTAATCAATAAATAACTGGAATGATGTTGTATACGAACGTTAACTTGTTGAGCTAATACTGAAATATGTGGTCTCACCATAATTTTTTTATCATATGGGCTACACATTTTATGAATAGCTAGTACAACCGTATATATTCCCTGCGTATATGCGACTTCAGTATTTCAATAGTTATTGGTACAGGTTAATAAAATAGTACTGTCCATTGTCCTTTAGAGTTTTCCAGTATATGTTTTGCATTCAAATTCATAGCTTGTGCAAAAAAGCTTAATGTACATAATGATTGATTTATCATTTACTCACTAGGTTTTTCCTAAAAAAATAATTATCTTATAAAATTATTTTGGCCTTGTTTAGTAACATTTTTCTCGATTTATAAATGTTTAAATATTTTTAAGGTCCATTCCTATTCCCTTATAAGAGCGCTATATATGTTTTTTTTTTTTTTTAATGGCAGCATACATATTTTACTAGCTTAAATTTTAGAAAATTATTATAAATTAACTAAGAAAATGACTGGTCGACAACAACTTTTCAGCTAGTATTTTATAAATTTAGAACATTTTTATAATTGGATGGAGAGATAAGCAAAACAGAGTAATGCTAAATGATAAAAATAACGTAACACACACCTCACCTTCAATCTACATTTAATAATGTTACAAAGTGATTAATTTACTAAGTAACTTCGATTCATCCCTTTGACTTTTTATAGATATCAACTTTATTATTTTTAATTGCAATATATATATATATTTAACTAGCCTATAAACGATTTTTACATCCTTCTATTTCCCGAACTTAAAATGCTACAGAGGGTAATGACACTTTTTCACATGTTAAAGAGTCAAAAATGGTTCTTGATTAGGACGATGACGGACAGGGCGGGTATTATGTCCGGCTAGCTCCAGAAATCACAAGAAAAAACTCTTTAGCACCCTGATGATTGAACCCTGGACCCGTACACCGAAACATACATTTCTACCCACTAGATCAGGCCGATCCCTATCATTTACTAGTCTATAAAATAAAAAAATAATCTAATTAAAAAAAAGTGTAGTTAACAGCAATTTTTGGACCAGTCATTCAGAAAATATAGCGATTTTAAAATGTAAGGATATTATTTTATGTGTACTATTTTTAAGTGTGGATGAGAAAAGCGCTGAAGATACAGATCACATTTTGGAATGGGCAGAGTTTGTTTCACGGACTATGTTACTAAGCCACCGATAACCCAGAAGAAAGGAAAGAAATCAATTACCCAAAAATCTGGGAAAAGGAAAATTGTAAAATCCCCCCACCAATAGGAAAAGGAGGTTAGGCACAGGTGAAAAATAAACAGACTCACTATACTATCTACTCAAAAGAGAATGGAAGAAGTGAGCCACGTATAGGTAAGGTATTTGGGAAACAGTCTTTCTCAGGAACAGTCGGAACAAAAGGACCTAAAAAATCGTGAATTGTAGACCTAAGAAACGGTCATCTGTGAATGGTGCGGGGAATCACACACAGGGAACCTTATGTGTTACAGGGACTGTAAAAGAAACTTATATTACACTCAGACTAGCGTATATTTAAATATTAACATCAGTTTTTCTAAATGACAATATAATAAAATTTTCCTAGGTCTGAGTCCTCAGACATAGGTAGGGACTTAATTATTGTAAGAATATATAATTAAAACTTATCCTAGTTATGGATGCAAATGCCCACTGTCAAAATTAAGAAAGAGTTCACCTAAACTCTTAAACAAAGAAATAAAATATTGTTTGGAACAACGTGAGATTTCCTAAGAACTCTCAAAAGAAGATGCAAATTTGCATTGAAAAAGTCCAGATGAAAGAGTTGGAAAGTTGTGTGGGAAGTTATAAATGTCCAATGACTTTCACTAAGAAATGGATCGAACAAAACCGTCGAAGCAATATTATGGCCAAACGGTACGCTGACAATGATATTGAAACATTATCACATTTGTTGAACATAGACATTCATGGCTCCGAAACTTACACCCAAAGAAAAACCTTAATCAAAAATTGAAAGAGAAATTTTATCAAGGGTTTATGATAATGTTTTATTAATACGAACAAAATAACTATTCTTATAAATAATTATTGTTCAAGACAAGAAAAAAAAATATCATATTGATAAATATATCATTGATTCAATAGTAATGATATATTTATCAAATTGAACAATGAATTTATTATATAGATCGAGGTTTTTCTCTGGGTGTATAACAGAGAACAGCCACATAAAGTACGAGGTAAATGTGACTCGTGCAGAATGGTAGCTAACCAGGAAAGTCATAACCTCGAGTGATATAGGATGGGAAATAAATTCTTTTGGCAGTTATAAAGCTGCTAGAGGGACTAGATTTAAACATCCTTCATCTATGCAACATATTTAGAGTATGCCTACCTTACAGTTATCAACCTGAAAGCTGGTGAAAGGCAGGGTGGTGTTTATACCTAAACGCAGTGCTCGAATTGGGGGGGTGCGCAGGGGGACGTAGCTCCTCTACTTTTTTTTAAATTTTTTTGCGCACCCCAACTACTTTTTTTTATTGTGACGGGAGGACGGTGGAAAATACCACCTCTTTTTTTTTTTTTTTAAATATTAGTATGATAATGAAATATGATTTATTAATAAATACTAAATAAAGTTATGAGTAAAAAAAAAAAAAAAGGTCTTCAAAATGCTAGGGACGCAGTTTTCAAATTGTTAAATTGAGCTCCCCTACTTATTTTTGGCCAATTCGAGCACTGCCTAAACGTAACTACGCTAACTACTATGAAGCGAAATCCTACAGATTAATAGATTTCACTTCATTTCTTCTTAAGACTATGAAAAAACTTATTGATAGGTACCTATAAAAGAAGGGGCCTTTACATAAGAACCGACATGCGTATCAAACAGGAAAATCTACTGACCCACCTCTACATAATTTAACCAACAATATAAGAAAACTGTAGAGGTTTAATAGACGCTTATTATTAAGTGGATATATATATATTAATATGTTTCAAATGAAGCATTTTACGACAGTGATTTTTATTACTGTCAGATATCAATCAATAATAATATAAAAAATGTCTCAATTTCATTTTAATGTATTCCTAATGTACATAACATTTTTTTTTTTAGTATTATTTATTTATTTATTAACAAGTACTTTCTTAGTTTCATACTAATATAGTCATACATTATACACTTATTAATTTTAAATTTATTTATAGGGAATATTCTTTGTAACACATCATTAAATACACAGAGATACTATCAACAAAAAATAAATCAACACGTCACAGATAAAAAATATTATAAACAAGATAGGTTTTACAAAATTTTAAGTGTAAAAAATTGGTTTTTTTTTTTTTTTGTGTTTTAGAATGTGAGCCAGTAAAATAAATAATTATTGTACAAAATTCAAATTGATTGTAAATTTTTCATTTCTTGAACAGACCCAAGTTCTTCTTTTCTGTTATAGTTGTTATTTTTTCTCTTTTGAATTAATTTATTAACTAAAACTTGGACAACAAAAACAAAAAATGCTACAAAACTCATGAGTCTAAAAGATTTTGAACTACCCATATTTTCAAATGTGTATCCTGCTATGAAACAGCCAACAGATATACCTGAATAGTTACAAATATATTAATAACTAATATGTAAATTTGATATTCAATATTTCACTTTTACCTAAACCTTGAAAGGCCATTCCAAATAATCCTTGGAGAGTTCCTTCACATCCCGGAGGTGCTACTTTGGCAGCATATGATATCCCAGACAAAAATGCAATAGCAAATGAAACTCCATTTAGAAGTTCTACTGGCAATGTCCACACTGGATCTTTAATAATTGAATAAAGATAAAATCTTACACCAAACATGATAAATGATATTGAAAAAGCAGTCATATGGCCTATTATTTTTAATATAAACCCTAAAACAGTTAAAACAAAGTACATTAATTAAAATTTAAAAAATTTTGCAATTATTTTATAAAAACAATTATTATTAAAATTAATACACGATAAAAAAAATTGGAATTTAATACTACTGTTTTAAAAAATATACATATTTTTCTGTCTAAATAAAATTAAAAAGTTCAATAAAATTATTGTAAAACTAAAAGTTATCAATGAATTCAGAATTTTCAAAATTAATTTATTATATTAATGATTAATCTTATTAAACTACTCAATCATTATTTTATATATTTTATTTACTCTCTAAGATTGCTACTATAGCAAAAGATATATATTATTTAAATTAATTTTTAAATCTAACCAAGAATTAAAAAAAAATTTAATGTAACTTTATGAAGAAAAAATAACAATTAAACAAGATTTTTAATTACAATATTATTAATATATACAACCTAATTTAATGAAAATAATTGAAAATGCTAACTATTTTAATAATTGTACAAAACATTTTTTTTAAATAACCAATTGTTAAGTAATTTCAAATAATAATTTTCATTCAATGTTAAATTTTTAAAAACTATTAAATTATTTATTGTTTATCTGTTTTTAATACTTGTTAAATATAGACAAAACAAATTTATTAAAATGAATATCAATATCAAATTATTATATTATATAATAAAATAAATTATAATGTAAATAATTAATTTTTACTAACCAAACATTAGAAAAATAGGTAATTCACCAACCACACATTGTATAAGGAATGAAAATCCTTCAATAGTATTCAACCAAGGTTTACGTTCTGGATGATATAATTCAGATATTTCTTCAATATATCTATGATTACAAAAAGTTTAGAATATTTTATAAAATAGAAATAAAAATGAATACATGTTTGGGTCTTAGGTAATCTGGAGTTGAACTATCATTCAATGAATATTTAAAAATTAACTTTATAATTTTGTATACACATAATTGAAGACCTTTCTAAGAGATAAAATAATGTGGGTACTATTAATATCATGTAATACATGCAGATCTTTTGGGAAGTCTTCAATTATGGTATGGCTAAATATGAGTTAAATAAAGAAATATCATTGTCTTTACTTTACTTAAATAAATTTATTTTATTTTATAACCTATGTGATTTATTTATTTCTAAGCTTAGAATCATAGAATTTAATGTTATTATTCTTCTGATTAATTTTTTAATTAGTCAAGGGTTAATTATAATAATGTTTGTATATTTTTAAGTATTATTTTATACATGTATTGCTAAATATTTATGAAACTGAGGGGTTACATTCAATATTTTAGAATACATTATCCAGAAATAATATTTAAGCCATATTTAACAATTTGAAAATTAATATAGTAAACGTTTCTCTGACTTTTTTGCTTTGCAAAAAATTTAATTTTTACATTATTTTTATTATAATTTTTATATTTTTAATATTTAATTATAAATATCATTATATATTTAATTAATGTTTTTCAAAAGAACTTACATAAATATAAAATACCAAATAAAAGCTGTGAAAATTCCAGCGAATGTTGTCCATAATAGGTATGCAACTACTTTAATATCAGACATAACTTTTAAAATAGCACCTTCAACTTTAACTATATTTTTTTTTTCTTTGTTCTAAAAATTATTGAACAATACATTTATGAAAGATAACTTATTAACTGTATTTTTAAGGAATCATACTTCCAAGTTAGATGCAACCAAAAAATGAATGGTCATTAAAAATGAAGAAATTGCAAAAGCAGGCAAAAAGTTTTTTTCTTTTTCACCTTGGCTATACCAATCAATACACCATCCAGTAAACAAGGAGCTGAATCCCCATCCAACTGCTCCGAAAATCCGCTGAGAGCCATAATTTGAACTTTCTTTACCTGTAGAAAAATAGGTAATTGAAAATTAAAATAATAGTTTAAAAATAGTTAGGCCATTAAAAATTTGTTAGTATAATAAATGTATATAAAATATATTTTATTAATTAATTTTTGTATTTAAAATAAAAATTTATTTAAAAAATGATTTACCTATAGGTATACAAACACATACAATCTAAAAAGTAATTTTAAGTATTTATTTAATTGTTTTTTTGAAAATTTCACAGTTAGAAGCTTATAAAAAATATATTTCAAAAGTATTTGGGAAAATTCCTAACTCTTCCTATACAATAATAATGACAAATATCTAAAAAAAATTTAAAAAACGTTGAGTTCCCTCAGCTTTTTTAAAAATATGGATTTGACACAAAAATTAATGAAATTTAATATAAATGTAAATTCAGTATAATCAGATTAATACATTTGTTTTCACTAACCTAAGATATTTATACAAATAGTATCCTGAAGAACGTCTACTATCATCCATAGAACACGGCTTAAAGTAATAACCAATAAAAACAACCAAAACTTCCATGTTGTTAAAATATTCACATCGTCCAATTTTTCTTTATCAGTCAAAGTCGGAATAAAATGTAAAATAGGATTCACAATAGCTGTTGACAGACTAGCACACAAAAATACAGCCTTTCTACAACGCCATCGATCAGTCATATATCCAACCAATGGTCTTACCAATACGTTTAAAATTGGTAAAATGGTAAATATTAATGCAGAAATAAATACGGGTATACCTCGTTGTTTGGCGATTATTGGTAAAAATGGCGTGATAGGTGCAGTGCCTAAATAAAAAAAATGAACAATACATTAATAACTGTTAAGGATCTATAGTCTTAAGGAAAAGGGTTTTATTGTTCTCATTGTTTGTAACAATTAACCTATTTCCTTTTTTACTGAACACTCTGTATAATACTTTATATAATTTAATATAAAAAATTAAATACAATTTAGAATCGCTTTTTATTTATAAATGTTTCGCAAATTATTTTTGGAATAATCCTTAAAAATATTATGAAGCTTTAACGACCCATTGAAGCATTCTGTAATTTACTTTAAATATAATACGATACATGTAATAAATAATGAATTTAATACAATATATTTTAATTAAAGTAATATGATTTGTTTTTACTTACCAGAGTCAAAAATAAAGAAGCATATTTTCATTAACAAGAGTCTTTTATTAATTTTAAAGTTTGGCATTGTTTAGCTGACAAATGATTTTTGATGTTTGTCCTTTACAAAATAAAATATACACATTTAATGCCAACAAGTGTTATTTTAAATCAATCAATGAGTATTTTCATATCGTATTGTTTTATAAAGAGCAATTGTATTTAAGACCATTGACTCGTATAATTCATTTCGATTATAAGTTCATAGAGTTGTCACAACAAAATAATTTTAATTTGTGTAATTATCATGCTCGGCTTAAAAAAAAAAAAAGAGTTCATGAATGAGAATCAAGATTCGTATAATATTGAATACATACAGATATTAACTACAGTAGTATAAATGTTCATTGCGGTACCGCACCTAAAAATTTAAAAAAGGGAAGATCAGAACACGAAAAATTATTAGGATGAGATCACAAATAAATTAAAAATCCACCTGTATGCTATTCATTTTTTTAAATACAAATTTTTTTGTATCAAAAAAGTAATTGTATTTAGTTATTTTATCATAAGAAAAAATATAGTAACAATTTATCACTTGTGGTTAATATTATTTAAAATTATATTAAAAATATTAATGTAAAACCAAAAAATAATAAAAATATTTAACTCATGAAGCCACAAAAAATTAATAAAATATCAATGATGCATATTTCGGAAACGATGTTAGTATTATTATACACAAAACACATACTGACATTTTTTTGGAATTTTTTGAGACTTTTTGGGTTACATATTTTTTAGTTTTAAATTAATATTTTTAATATAATTTTAATTCTAAGAAAAAATAGTTACCTAGTTTAGCTTTCAATTGTTTTATATTTAGTTAGGCCCTTAAAATTGGCCCATCACAAATTTGACTAGCCTGTCACGGTTAGTGACAGTTCTTCTTATACAATTTAAATATAGGTTTTAATCCGGCCCTGCATTTATAAATTAATCAATATGAAGACATTTTTTTTTCATTTAAATAGATAATTTATATTCTAATAATTGAGATTTTTAATATATTTCTTTTATTTAGACAGTTGAATACAAGATAAATTTAAGCTGGTATGATGCTACTTAGGTGTTATACCTAAAAGCCTGTCAACAGTAGTTTAGGAGACTTAAGAGGTATAGTCTATAACAGAGGTAGCTAGACTATTAAACCCAACCCNATAAACTGTATCATTATGTTTAGTAAGTAATGAACAGGTCAATTGTTATTAACAATGAGAACAACAGAAATCCATTTCCTTACTTACTAAACACTTTATACAGAGTGTTCAGTAAGTCAGGAAACGGGTATCTATTGTTCTCATTGTTTGTAACAATGAGAACAATAGATACCCGTTTCCTGACTTACTGAACACTCTGTATAAAGTGTTTAGTAAGTAAGGAAATGGATTTCTGTTGTTCTCATTGTTAATAACAATTGACCTGTTCATTACTTACTAAACATAATGATACAGTTTATCGGCTTTATGTAAACTTCTATACATTTTATCTTTCTACATGACTATTCCATTGAAGGAAAAAAAAACTACATTATGTTACCTACAAAATATTATCAGTTATCAAGAATACTGTCATTAGGTAAAACATTACCTAATAGAGCTGCTGACCATTAAACGGGAATTTATGATATCAAATTTGTAAAAAAAAATTACAAAAATAAATATACTTTTTATTTATAAATTTTAAGATTGTTATTTTGCAAAATTCTATTTGATATTATGGCTTTAATATTTGAAATGAATTACTTAAATTAATTATATTTTTACTTAAATTTTATTTATTTAAATACATCAATTTTATGCAAATAATTATTTTTATATTATGGCGTTTATATTTAAAAAACATTACATCTTTTACTATATTTTAAAGAACAGTTAGCACTAATTATTCTAGTAGTTTACATTATTATTAATTTTACAATATTTTTTATCCAATAATCGATATATGAAAGTAAAGCTTAGTATACAAAGAGGTGTACGTAAAAAAATTTGAGACTATTTTTTCGCTTCGTATTAAAACTAAAATGAGACTAATTTTGAAAGAAAAAATGAAGTCATAAAATAACACACATCTAATTTTTCAAACATTCTAAAAAAGTGAGGCCTTTAAAAATCTAAAAATTTTATTGTCTCGGTGCAATGTATCCCATGCATTGGTCTTTGTAAGAGTTTACACTATGTTTGTGTAGGAGCTTACCAATTATTAGTTTATTGAAGCTAAGTAGGTATCATACCTGTTGTTAATCCAACAGGGAATCGACTAAAACATTACATTAGCACTCAAATTGATTAAAATTTAAAAAATTAATTAAAAACTAAAAAATATTTAACTAAAAAGCCACAAATATTACTAAAAAATCGCAGATACGTATTTCAAGAATAATATTAGAATTATCAACACTACACACATACTAGTTCAGTAAGTTATATATATATATATATATATATGAGTTGATATGTTCGCGAAGATGGTGAGAAGTCAACTGGCGTCTAGACCGCTCGTATTGTGTCAAGATGACCGCGAATATCAGTTGTATTTATGTATGCAGTTTGACCTCCCGTTAGTATTACTGTATCCATATCTTAACTACAAATCGGCGATTTTTGTTAGTTATAGAAGTAAAAACATGAGCACTAAATGTGATCAAATAAAGTGCAGTGGCTTTTTTTACGAGATGTGGTTATTTTGCAACAAACCAACAATTCCAGACATAAGTAAACAGAACTGTTGATAATCAACTAGTCTTTTATGTACCATATACAACCCGACATTAATAATAAATAAAACAAGCCAAAAAATGTTTGAAAATATACTTTTAGAATATAAAACCCTTTTCTCAACATTGAATTTAAGTGTGATAATAATTGACCTAAGACACTAATTGAAACATATTCAAGAGATTTTAACTTTTTTTAAAACCAATTTTTTATTGCATTTTTAAATCCTTGAAATGTGCTACGCGATGAGTTTTTGTGTAAGAGGGTAGCAAATCCAATGCTCAACAAATGTGAACAACTTAAATATTTTTTAAATATATTTACAATCTATCATTGTTATTAAATGCAAGTAAGAAATATATGTTTAAAATATTCAGATAAGAAAAAATAAAAATAGGAATGATCAAATCATTTAATAACTTAATTTATTGATCTTTGATATTAAACAATACCAGTCTTAAATTTGGATAAAACATTAATTTGTACACGGCCGTATTAACTAACATCACCCGTGTTATTATAAAGGTAAATAATAATGTACTTACTTGGTGTTACTTATTTGTTACCTTTTGTAACTTTATATAATTTTAATATATTAATATCAATCAGCTGTTGTAGTTTATCATATTTGCTGATTAAAAAACTTTATACTAATAAGATAATCATTGTAAAAAAATTAGGATTATTATCAATAACTATGGAATATCTGCATTACATATTACAGTTAATAAATTGTTATCAATAACATCCAAAAAGTACTCATCTTTATATACTAATCGTAATATAGTATATTGATTTTTTAAGATCATATTTTATTGACTAAACTAAATACTTGATATCAATTAAATTAAAACTTGTTATTTAATAACAAATTTCCAATAAAGACAATCAACAATTTAAAAATAATTAATACTTACTAGTCGAAGAAAATTCAACATTAATTTAGACTCATCGTTCATTTTCTGCGTTTTATAATATTATATTCTAACAAACAACACGTGGTGGTTTTTGAAAGATGAAAGATAAAATGTTCAAGATAATTTTTCTATTATTTTAAATGTTTTACAATATTAATGAATCGAGTAATATTTGATTTATTCTACTACACGTTGCCACATTGCACTGATATTTTCCCGTAATATTACTAAGAATTATTTGTATGGGCGTAACTCGAAAAGTATTCAAGGTTAATTAAATTCCTGTAATTCATAAACCACTCCTTCTATATAGAAGTGTATACCTTTAAGTTAACATCAAAATGAATAATTATTGAAATAGTTAAAGGAAATTTTGTAGGAAGTATTAAAAAATAATAATTAAATAAGATTCGGCAATAAAACATTTTATGACAAAATGTATAAACAAAAAAAGAATATAATTAAATTACCTTACTGCTTCAATTTTACACTCTGGTGTAAATATACAAAATATTTGTATAAAAGAACATGACTTCATGAATTTGTTAACTAGTAATATTATAACGCGACGTTTTTAAGTCACGTTTTTAACGGTCACTACTACAGCAGTAGTAAAACAAATTTAAATGTATGCATATCAATGTGTAAAAATGTAAAAAAAGTAAAATGAGTCGAAAAAAATTATGCAAATCACTAGTTGTCAGTAAATGATTATCGGTACATAATTTTCAGTGGAGGACAAACTTGATGTCACCTCTATTGAGTATGAAACTAGACATGATAGCTCATAAAAGACAAAACATATGGCTGAACCATTTTCAGTGGTGTTATAATTATATTAACTGTAAATCATAACACTTATTTTTCAAGTATATATATAACTTTACCAATGTAAAAGATTTCATTTATGTCCTATTCTTTTAAGTATCCTATGGAAAGTATTATGTTTTTTTAAACAATATTTTTCAAAAATATAGTTTTCTGTGTATAAACTAAATAACAAGAAATAGTTTTAACTTTTTTTGGATAGATACAATACATTGATTATTTTTGATGAAAAAAAATTGCGAATCTGAAGACAAATATTAGCTTATAAGACACTAAACAATACTCATGCTAAGAACGAGTTATTTATGAAACATCAGCAACATAATATTTTACATATTACTAACATAATTTTTTTTCATCTACATTTTAAAAAATGATTTCAAAGTTTATAATTTATTACATGTAATTGTTAAGACCTGAAAAGTATTACACTAATATATAATTAAAAATTAAAAAAAAAATAAACCTTAAAACAACTGAGTGATACAAGACCTTTTATATGTTTATATGAAACAATAAATTAACACATTCCTACTTGGCAATGGGAATAATGCATTTATTCATACAAATTTATTCAAAAAATGCACTAAAAAGATAACATATGCTAAAAATTCTTATTCCTATTAATTACACATAAATTTACCAACTTTAAAATACAAAAATTGAAGTATTATTCTTCTTCAATATTTCTTCCGAACGAAAACAATAATTCCTTTTGTTTACAATTAATGTATCTTCACTATGTAATTACTTTTGTTCTGAGAGAGGATATATCATCAATTTTCCTTGTAATTATGTGCCTGAATGTGATAAGTTAAAAAAATATTATCTAAAAAAGTTTCACATCTTTGTCGTTAATTATAATAATTTTAGAGTTTTAACCTAAGTTTTAGGCTAAATATACGCCTTTTAACAGAGCTCCTAAATATATTAACTTTGAAATAATTTTTATTATGTTAAACCAATTAGAATAATTATAATCAATAATTTGAGATTTATTATACTATATTTAATTTTATTAATTTATCATGTATTAAGAACCTAATATTGATAACCACGCATAATTTGTTATTAAATAATGCATTATTATCTTGTAAGAATTTGATACGAACCAAATAATAATAATAATAATTATAGTAATAATACTAAGGAAAAAAATCCTAAACGATAATTGATAGCATTAAAATGCCTTATCGATTTAAAACACAATAGATTAACAACTGTATTTTAAATCTGTAGGTTTCTCATTTTATCAATGTAAATGAATATAATGATCATCCATAAGTGATCTTATAAAAATAACAATTGATATAAATTTGTAGAAATCAATCATTTTTAGTACGTTCTATATTGGTTCAACTATTTTTAAAAACAAATCTTATTACAAAAACTAAAAGATTAACTAAAGATATTATTCAATCTATCTTTTTAATATCTTTATCATACTGGTAGACTAAGATCTTCTAGTTTCACTAGATTATAACAAAAAAAAACTTGTCATTGAAAACTCGATCCAACTTTTTTTTGGCTAGATTTAACACAAAGGTTGGGTTTTGCATATAGACTAAATAACAACAAAATAATTATAATTAATATAATATTTGTGTGTTGATTATTAGGTTATGTAGAAATAACCAATAAATACATTTTAACTAAAAAATTGCGTAATAAGCAGAATGTATTATGTGCAGTATATAAATATAAATAATTATTGAATATTTAATAAATTAGTTAAGTTCTGAATATTTTAATTAGTATTTATTTATCTATATTTATGGAGAAATTATAAAAAATTATAAAGTAGTAGTATATTTCATTACTTATATGTCAAATGTATATAAAAATTAATTCACAAAACTGATACAAAACTTTTAAAAAATAATTTTGTTTAATTATGAATAAATACGCTTGTCTATAAGGAATTTTTATCAGAATCAAAAATAAACTTTTCTAGATAAATTTTTTTAATTAATTATAAATATAAATTATTTAAATCGTCATCAAATTTTCTATTTAATGATATCAGTCTTAAACTTGCATGTTGAGCTAAAATAGTCTACAATTAGGGTTATTTACAATATTTGGTGACTATAAATTCAACTAGATTAAAATCGTGCTTTTTTGACGTATTAATTAAAATTAGTCTAGTGAGAGCCGATATAAAAAAACACAAGCAATCACAAGATTAGTACTTTCTTAGTTTCACATTGAATCTAAAAAAACATACAAAAAGTTATATAAAAAGAAAGTTCAAAATTTCAAAATTATATATAATTTTGAAATTTTGACTTAATAGAAGCAAAAATTGTTTAATAAGTTTAACTTTATATTCAATAAGAGGTAAATTTAACATAATTTTTATGAAAATCCGTTAAATTCTCTTGTAAGATATTTTAAAATAAAAAACCTTTTTAAAGTTTTATAAATTTAAAGACAAAATAAATATTTTTTAATAAAAAAAAGGGGATTAGTTCTCTTTCACCCATTTCTTAACATGCCATTGTAGAGTGCACTAATTTCTTATAAACACTTTCAAATAAGTTTTTGTACAATTTTTTACACAAAAAAATTATTTATTTTTAGCTTTAATATCAATTTTCACTACAAAGACAGATCCAGAAAATAGTTTTTTTCCACATTAAGCGCGATTAAAGATTTATATAAAACCGTATGTAATCGTACTTAGAGTGTTAAGCTTTAGCTCAACAATTTTTGTCAATAGACGCTATTTTTTTTTCTGGGTTGAATTCTTTTTTACAAAAAAATTAATAAAAAAAGAACTTTGTACAGAGTTTAGACGACATACTAGAGTCACTATAGATAAAATTTGAGAAATTAAAATAACTAAAAATGTTGGAATATTATGTTTTTAAGTATTGGCTATTTTTAGCTTCGATGCGAAGCTGAGAAGGTATTAATTTTACTATGATGTGTTTTAGCTTCGATGCGAAGCTGAGAAGGT